ATGCACCAAGTCAAAGGTGACACATAATTTTGTTAGTGACCTTTTTTAAAATAATAATTTAACCAATTTTTAAAAATTTCTTTTAAATATTTTGTATTTGACAGCTCCCAGATGTTGGCTGTCAACTTTGACTTGGTGCATTTTAAGTTGTTTTCAAAGCAGAAGTGATTGCCACATAAAGATTTTTTAAAACTCTAATATAAAAAAAACGTCCATATGGATCCAACTTTATGGGGGACACTGTATATAATGTTTATTATATTTAATTTAAATTTAGTTATATTTTCACTGGAATGCAAAATAATGTGTTTATCGAAAACTGGTTGTATCTCTTTTTACTTAATGTGTTTTAGTCCAAACTAAAACGAAAATATTATAGATATTAGTGTATAAATAATAACAAAAAAAATGTTGACAAAATGGCGAATGCAGCAAAATATTTTCAAGTAATATTTTAAAAAATGTTGACAAAATGGTGAATGCGCCAAAAAATTTCGCAATTTTAAAAATTAACTCTTCACCTAATTTTATACCCACGAGCCGCCACTGGATGCTCGTATGAGCGAAACACGTGTTATGGTTTAGATTAATAAAATTTGTGTTCTTACTCTTTCCTACTTTTCGTTCCTACTTTTTCTAGTAAATTCAGTTGCTGTATCGGGCGCAGCCCTCTTACCACAAGTACTGGAGAAAATATTCTCTACATTAGTCTATGTACCGGACGGACAATCCAAAGAGGGTCGATCCAGAGCCTTAAAAAACGTTAGACGTCATGCAGCCTCCCTGATGGTTAAAATTGGTAACTTCCAAATCTGTCTAAAACGTCTAACTGTATTTTTATCACATTTTTTTCAATATAATTAGGAAATAAGTATCCATTGCTACTCTTGCCAGTTTTTGACCAGATCAGAGCCACTGTCGAGAATTTGTCCAGGCCAGAGGGATCAGCTAATTTGAGTACTTTGGAGAAAGTTACTTTGTTGGAAGCGCTTTTGTTAATATCAAATCATTTTGGTGGGTGATTTTTGCAGTTTCATTTGTGGGGTTATTTTTAATTTTGTGCTTTTTAGGTGACTATGAAAGGCAAAGTACTTTCGCTGGCGAGATTTTACACGAAGCAAACGCACAGTTTTTAGCAATAGTTAACTCAGGTGCTCTGAAGGGAGCTGCCGAATTTATTTCTTTTATAGGTAAGTTTCAATATTAGGTAGTTAAACTCACATTGAGACTCAGCAAATGATCAAAATCATAACGCAGTTTTGATGTATTTGTTTTAACACCAAAACATACGTATTTTGGTGTATTGTTTTGATTAGTGTTTTATTTTGTTATTATTAATAGACAAAGTTCTTATAATTTATTACCTTTTGAAATACATTTTTTTAGGTCTGAATAAACCTGCTGTTCCAGCAAACACGGACAATATCTGCGGTCAAAATAGAAGCAATTTGTTTTTTTGTGTAAATTTGGTTCTTGGTGCTATAAAACGATGTTCTTGGCCTGACGATCCAGAACGGGCTACTAGAGGTGAGAATTTAGTGAGCATTGTGATTTAGACTTTGGATTACATAAATAACAAGACAGACAACCAGTGGCGTGCATATAATGCAGCCAAAAAGGCGTTGCCTACACTTTATACCTTTTTTTTCATTACATTATAACTCATTACTAAGCCAACTCTCAATAAGCATTTTTTTATTTTAATTTTATTCTGGAGCTTACATAAATAAAGATAGCATAAGGAAGAAATGCGTAATTTAATTACGTCGGCATCGATCGCTGTCCTGCGCAGTGATGCCAAATCTGAAAATGTTTCCACCAATTTAGGGTAAAATATATTGATTACTTAATTACTTATGTTACCTTTATTTTATTATTTTGACAATGGTTGCATCCCTTGCTTTGATTTGCACTGCACGCCACTGTATACAACATTCATATTCTATTTTTATATTGATTTTCTAGGTGGTTTCGTGGTATCTTTGACGGAATCCGGTAACCCGGTATGCCGGAATCCCGCAGCGCCTCACGTAGTTCCTCTTTTACCCCATATACTCTCCTTAATTAAAATATTCAATGAGCTGTTCACTCCAGAGGCTCAGAACCTGATCCATGACAGTTACAAAGGATGCCTTGCCATGCCTGAAACAGAAAAATCGAATTTATTAGGATTAATAGGTGAGTTATTTTAATAATACCTTACTATAGTTTGTTCAACTATTATTTAACCAAATATTCCAATTCAAATGAAAAAAAAAATATATAAAATTTTATTGGTTAGACACAATGATGATGACGTAACGTTAAAAGATCGTTGTGCAGACTATAGAATAAAAATATTTATATAAACTATATATAATACATTAATTATTTCTTTTTTTGCTTTTATTTACAGGACATTCTTCTGACTGTGGTGACAATTTAGTAATCCAAAGCCCTCTAGAAAGGATGCAGCGGTTTCTAACGACCCTACACGAAAGCTGCTATCACATGATTGGTTCGATGGGCCCCTCCTTGGGCAGAGATTTGTACAATATTTCCGATTTAGCTTTAGCGATAACCAATAGCGTTTTGGCATATTTACAAGTAAATATTTGTCTTGTATAGCATTTAAAAAAATCTTTATTTTTATTTGTTGTAGTATGTGCCAGACTATAGACTGAGGCCTATAATAAGAGTATTTATGAAGTCGTTTGTGTTCTCTTGTCCAGCGCCGTACTACGAGGTGGTGTTGCTTCCTGTTTTAGCCCATATTAGTCCGATATGTAAGTACCTTAAATATTTTTGCCACTACTATATGAAAATTCACATTAATAAAAATTAATAAAAGAAACACTAAAGATTCTTTATTATTAGTGGAAATATTATTTTTTATAATTAATTTATCTAGATATTACACTATTTTTCCATAGTCAGCTTTAGATGACTATTAAGCTTACCCTGTTAGTTAGTAGTAGACCCACTGCATCTTTGACTGTCTTTTGTTAAGTGATAGAAAAATTGTTGTCTGTCAAAATCTTTTCTTACTCGTTTGACAGACTTTATTGTGATTATATGGTACTTTCTTGATAATTCTAGGTAATTTCTTGGTGATTCTCGATAATGATCTGTTTCTTTTTCATTAGTATTAAATAGGTTACATGGAAATTGGCAACGGGTCATCGAATTTCGCAATAGAGAAGTGCAAGAAGACAACGCCGACACTCAGGAGGTTTTAGAAGACTTTTTGACGCGAGCTTTGACAAGAGAATACTTGGATGTTCTTAAGGTAGGAAGAAAAAATCTTATAAATTGAAAATTTTGTCTGTAGTCAATCTAGCGTAAAATATACAGGGTGTTTCAAAACAAATGCGAAAAACTTGAGGGGGTGATTCCTTCTTCAAAATAAAGGGTAGTTTGCTTTATAAACGTTGGGTCAAAAGTCAACCATTAGGGAGATATCGCGGTACAAAGATGGCGGAAAAATAATGTTTTTATTTTTTATCTTGAAAACGAAAAGAGATAGACTAATGAAATTTTATGGAAGCATTACTGTTATGAAAACACACTTTCAGGTAATTTTTTTACTTTTTTAAATTTTCAAGATACAGAGTGTCCCAAATAAGTAAAAAATATCAAAGTTGTATTTTTTTAAATGGAACACCCTGTATATTATTACATTTTTAGTTTCTACGATTAAAATAAAGGTAAATTTGATTAAGGTTTATTATACTTAAACCTTACCGTTTTTGAAATATTTTCAATTTTGTGAAATTGAAGTAAAAATTTTAAAGCTTCATTTCTCCAAGGGTATCAATGTTTTTAATACTAAATATTTAATGCAGTTTATTTATTGATCAGTTATTGTGTTGCAATAATAAAAATAATACTACCTTATACAGAGTGTCTAAAAATTTATTTTAAATAATTTTTAGCTTCAAACGGCAATAACTTGTTTAATTTAAATGGAACACCCTGTATATTTTACGAGAATCAAATGCACAATTTAATTGTCTATCAAATTATATTATACCATTTTTTACCTATCTCTTTAAGTTTCCGTAGAAAATGCATTTTTTTGTAATTTAGAACTTATTTATCAATATACCCATGGACTATTGACATTTTAGATTATTTTTAAAGATGTACCAAATTTTTAAAGAGTACAGATACTAATATTGTCGATATAATTCGTTTATTTTATTAAAAAATAAAAAAAAAACTGTTTAAATATTTGTTAAAGAGGACCAATTAATATGATTCCAGTATTCAAACTACATTAACTGACTGTTTGCGTTGATTAATAATAATTGCTCCAAATACTAAAAATCTGAATTTTGTATGGGCATTAGACAGTGTGATAAAAAGTAACACCTTAAAAATGATATTTCATTTTTCAATAAATGCTTATTTATAACAACAAAGACTTTAATTTGATAACTTATTATTATATTGATTTCTGACTCAAAAATCCACATTTATTTATAATAATTTATTAACGAACACAATTAAGTATGTCATTAATTAGTATATGGGCGGAAATAATTCTGTTATATTTAATTAATGGTATACTCTTTTATAAAGATTTAAATTGTTTTCTTTTTGCATACAAATGGGCTAGTAATATTATCGTTTTGCTAAAAACGATAATATTACTAGTCTGTACATTTTGTACATTTGTTGCTTTAAAAACAATCTAAAATGTCAATATTCCATGGATATATTGATAAGTGAGGTCTAAATTATAAGAAAATGCATTTTCTACGAAAACTTGAAGGGATAGGTAAAAAATGGTATAACAAATTTGATAGACAATTTAATTGTGCATCTGATTCTCCTAAAATATACAGGGCATTCCATTTAAATTAAAGCAGTGATTGCCGTTTGAAGCTAATAATTATTTAAAATAAATTTTTAGACACTCTGTATAAGGTAGTATTATTTTTATTATTGCAACACAATAACTGATCGGTAAATAAACTTCAGTAAATATTTAGTATTAAAAACTTTGATACCCTTGGAGAAATGAAGCCTTAAAATTTTTACTGCAATTTCACAAAATTGAAAATATTTCAAAAACGGTAAGGTTTAAGTATAATAAACCTTAATCAAATTTACCTTTATTTTAATCGTAGAAACTAAAAATGTAATAATATACAGTGTGTTCCATTTAAAAAAATACAACTTTGATATTTTTTATTTATTTGGGACACTCTGTATCTTGTAAAAATATTTTTAAATTGTAGCTCTAATAGTCCTTCAACGAACCCCAAACTTACAATTTGTAAAAATCTCATCGTTTAGCTACAATAGTCCGTGTCGTATGTGGTGAACAACCCTGTATATTTATTTCAATTTTATGCATTAAAGTATACACCACGGAAATAAAGTGACCAAGGCTAGTATCATTTTGCATATAAAATAACAGCGATCTTAATTTCATAGCCGTCGCTGACGCCGTTTTTCTAAGCAACCCTGACGTCGACAGTAATAATATACAGTGGTGTAAAGAAATAAAACATTGAAAAAATATATTTTATACTATACCAACTTCCAGGTTGCTCTTGTTGGAGGCAGTCTAACCCCAGAAAGTAACTCGGAAACGATGGAAACCGAGGAACTAAGTAATTCCCCCACTCCACCGCCTACTAGATCTAATTTGACGTCGGAAGTTATTTCCGATTTAGGTATTTTTTCCGGTAAAATAATTTAGGTTTATCTTTAACGTTTTTTTTTAAATTATTTCAAGGTTTAATTCTCTTGAGATGTGACAAAACTTGTCAGTCTATAGTCCTGGCAGTTTTAGGCGGTCTCAGTTGGATTGACAGCAACGCTTCGTTGAAGGCGACGTTATTGACAGGTCCAATTGTTCGACAAGTAAGCGATAAAAAAATATTTATTATTTTTTTCCAAAATTTTGATTCTTTTGTGTACTTTTCTTAATACATTTATGTTTTGCAGCTTACCATAGATGCGTCATTGAATGGTGAAATGGCAACGCATATTATGGCTGCCGTTTTGAATGCGCTGATTCTTCATGGACAGCACGAGGCTAATCAGGGTTCTTTACTGACTCTCGGTGCACAGATCTATGAATTGTTAAGGCCATCTTTCATTGAAGTTCTTCGCGTAAGTAGTACACACCTTCATATTCTATTAGCTCTTGTGGCACGGAATATATAAATTGTATGATATTATTTATAAATTATATACAGGGTGGCGCACCTCATTCGTCTCGGTTGATTATACGAAAACGGAAAGATGTAGAAACAAAAAATTTTATGTGTATATGTGGGAAGGCAATGTGCATAATTTAAAATTATTTTGAAATGTACAGGATGTGTCAGAACTAAGATTTAATTTACCTACAATAAGGTTAATAAGTAAGTATTGTTGCGGACCCGTTCCGTGTGAACTCAGCCTTAGGCCTGGCCACTCGCCTATGACTCATACGCCCAGCGATGCCGACGTTCTAAGAACGAATAAGAATTGACTAGACAAATCTGGATTGTCTGTTTCTCTCCTATATAAGCGGACGCCGGGGCATAAAAGGGATGGAGAGATAAATAACCGATCGACGCGTACAGTTACAATCGACGCGCTAATTCAAAATAAATTTCTGTTAGATAAATAATTAAATAAATTGTAAATAAGTTATTAATAGTTCTTTAAGTCTTTTAATCGTTATTGTTTTTGTTAATTAGTGTTAAATAAATTGTGACTTTCTGTCCACACGGAACCGACGAAAAACGTAACAGTATTTATTATTTTATCAAGAAAAATGAAGCAGTATCTGCTGGCGGAAGGAATGGATATGTTACTAGTGATTTTATTTTGTGAGTTGCCCTGACTTGCTTGTTGGCCTGAAGGGTTTATGCTCAAAGATATCCAAAATATTCAAATCGGAATTTTCTTGACAAGAGTTCCTTTGAAAAACTACTTTTCCTATTTCGCAAAGTTAATAGTGGGGTATATGAAAAACCTATTAGGCATGTCTTTGGAAGCAAAGAAAATGAATTTGCCTTAATTGGTTCTTTTATAGAAAATCCAATATATCTACAAGTCATCGTAATATAATCAAAGAACTACTTCTTTATTGTTCTTAATAAAATAATAAATACTTATTAAACTATTGTAGGTAAATTAAATAAAAGTAAACTGTTATAAATTTAAATAAAGGCCTTAAACTAATGTCGATTTTAAAAATAGCTACTAACTGTCACTAAAAATCGCTTTTTATTCAAAATCTGAGCCAGATATGTTTTTTTAAATGGAAACCATAGTTGGCCATGACTTCATAAAAAGCGCTATTTTTTAAGCTTTTCAGCGATATAAGCTATAATACTCTTTTCTCTCACAAAATTACTGAGTTATAGCCAAGTCTTATCTTTCTTGACTAATTTCACTTAGTTAGTGTGCGAACACAGTGCAAGCAGGTTTGCCGCTTTCTGGTAGCCAGCGCCAATCTGGGTACCTATTCTTGACATCGTTCGCAACTTTGCGTATACGCATCACGTGTATTGTTATAAACAGGGTATCCCAGAAATAAGTGCAAGTATTTTAAAGGGTGGTAGATCTAGATAAAAGAAACATATTTTCTCTTTATCGTTTTTCAAATAAGTCCAAAATAACGGAGTTATTTTACTTTGAAAATTTCCAAAAAAAATGATTTTTTGCTAAAATTTTGAGAACCTTCTTCATGTGCCTTCTCCTCATCGGAGGTTGGCGGCCATCAATCGGAATTCCTCCCTGTCTTGAGCCAAACGGATAATTGCACTTGCCTCTCCTATATTAAACCACTGGTGCAAATTCCGCAAGCAGGAAAACCGTTTACGCCCGATGCCTCGTCGTCCTTCAATCTTTCCCTCAACGATCAGCTGTAAGAAACTATATTTGTTATTTCGAAAAATATGACCAAAATATGCTGCTTTCCATCGTTTTATTGTAGTCAATAGTTCTTGGTCCTTACATATTCTTTCCAATACTTCGATATTTGTTTGAGAACCACTGGATCTTTTCTGGATTTTCTTTCTTATAAATTTAATCTACTACCTATGTTGCCATATTATCAAGAAATTATTTTTTGAAATAAAAACTAAAAAAAAATTGCAAAAAAATTTCAAAAATATTTTCAAAAAATTCCGAATTTTCAAAAAAAATATTTAGAAAAAAACCTCATAGGCGTGTTTCTGGGGTTGAACTATACTACCAGTTAAGTTAAAATACTTGCACGTATTTCTGGGACACCCTGTATATGGTTACATAGTAGCGCCGCGCCGCGCCGCCTTGCGCTTATAACCTTGAGAAATTAAAGCGTGTTATCAAATCGGTTAGTTCACAGTAAAAGCAGGTAGGAGCCGTCAACCAGCGTTCGTCGGCGTTCTCGCTTTTACCGGAACGAAAATGTATTTATTTCTGCTTTGGCAGGCGCCGACGGCGCACAGAGGGTGTTAAGAACTAAAAGTTGGCCAAAATTATGTTTTATGATTTTTTTGCTTTTTTGCTAGTAATATTAATTATTAGAGGACAGGGTGCTAATATGGAACCTCATTTTGTTTTTCCTACACAATATTTTTTCCTCTACTCTGAAACCCTCCGATCAAATAAGGCCACGATCAAATAAGGCCATTCTGTGCAAAACCAAGCAATTGGATGAGGATGCTAGAACAAGAAAGTAATTTGTATATTATAGACGATATTTGAGCGAGGATGGGTGTTATAGGGTAAAGACTATTTCCTTTAAGAATCTATTTAAATCAATGTTTTTTTGGCAGTGGCAAATATTCGCAAGATTTTTGTACATATTCCAAAGCTGGAGACTTTAAGCATTGAACGGATACTAATTTCTATGCGGAATATTGCCCAATAGTCTTACACCTTATAAAAATGCCTCTGATTTTTTAAATATAAAACATTATAAAGAAATAGAATAGAAGAAAACGTTATTTAAATAAAAATATGGCATAAAACAGGACTTGACAGCTGGCTCTGTATCCATCATGACAGTTATTATAAACAATTTGCAAAAAGCACTATAAACAATTCCACTATTTTATAGTCTTAGAAATATTCAGAATACACTCCAAGATAATTCATAATAATTGAAATATATTATTTATTTGATAGTCAACTTACGACTTAAAAAAAGCTAATAAACGCGCTTACATTTAGTATTTATAGATTTGTATTCAGTTAAGATAAAAAATGAAAATAAAAATATTTCACTTTTGGCCAGGTTTATAGATCAAATACCCCTATGTGCGGCGTTTGGATATGGTTAGGTTAGGTTAGGTTAGTTAATCAGGTAAATTTCCTCTTAATTAACTACTTCCGAACCCTGCTCGCATCTCCGAAAAAGCCATATAACAATACACGGCATATACGCAAAGTTACGCATCACGTGTATTGTTATATGGCTTTTTCGGAGATGCGAGGTGTGAGCGATATGTGGTCAAGAATAGGTCCCCAGAGACGGCGCTGGTTGCCGGAAAGCAGAAACCTGCCTCCACTATGTTCGTAGCCTTAGCCATGAAAGCCATGTCATAATGAAAGTCATATAGGAACCACTCTACTAATGCGCGAATATCTAAATTTAACTTTTCTAACATGTCTTGAAAACTGTTCTCTAAAAAATGTAAGTAACTTTCACTGGTCAAACGTATCCTGGAAACTGTATGGCCAGGAAAAATTGAACCAATAATCCTACACGCTTTTCTTCATTTGAAAAACTCTTATTTACAATTTTTGTTTTTTTTTAATTTACAAAAATTTCACATTTCTGATAGCAACGACGATTGAACTTGTTTTCATGGCTAACTAAGTGAAATTAATCAAGAAAGATAAGAATTTGCTATAACTCAGTAATTTCGTGAGAGAAACATATTATAGCTTATATCGCTGAAAAGCTTAAAAAATGGCGCTTTTTATGAAGTCATGGCCAACTATAGTTTCCATTTAAAAATACATATGTTTATGTCATATGTCAAAAACGACAGGCTTTAGAAAAAATCGGAGAACACAATCTCATTAAGGATGTAATTATCTACAACTTTTATCTGAAAACTTTTTGTCTAAAATAGATTATAATGGAATTATGGACCATTTTTAAATTAGCCTAAATTTGGTTTTTTCAAAATATCTAGTAAGCCATGTACTTTTTCAACTGCAATTCTTTCCCCATTTAACCGACTCTGTGTCTCCAGTAGTTTCCGAGATACCCATAGAGAACATCGTGGGAAACTCACTCTGTATAATTTATATATGATATTTTTAATGATAAAATGCTAACACCGAGTATTATTTAATTAACAAATATTTTAGGTTATGCAACAGATACCAGGCGTTAACCCTGTAGATCTTCAAAAATTAGACGAAAGAATTTCGGGAAGTACCAGTAAAGGAAATAGAATAGAAAAAGTCAAAAAAGATTTGTTCAAGAAAATTACAGGAAATGTAAGATTCATAGCCCATAGTTTTTTGAATATTTGTTTATTTATTTTCCTTTTTTTTCAGCTTATCGGTAAAAGTGTAGGGCAGCTGTTCAAAAAAGAAGTCAAAATAAACAATTTACCCCAGATTATCATAAATAAAAAAGAACAAAAGGATATCGTTCCAGACTTAAGGACTCTGTATAATAGCAGTTAGTGATAATTATGTATTTTATATGGAAATTGACATATTAAACTCGTCTATTTATCACAAATGGTTCTATAAATTATTCTTTGATACGAAAAGCGAGTATCAAGCGAAAGGAATTATTTATTTTTCTTTTTTTATGTTGCTTGAAACAAGAAATATGAAAGTTGATATCTATTTTTTAAAGGAATCGAATAACTGAGATAATATATTATTTAATGAATGTTTTTTTTTTATATTTTGAAGACAAGAACCTACCTAAGAATGGTAATGAGTGATTTTTTTTGACCTTGTAAGTGTTCAATAATTGTGACGTACTGATTTTTATTAATTGGAAATTCGGGATAGTTCAATGAAATTATTTTTATAATCAAATGGTGGATCTTTTAAGTATCAATTTTTAACATTTTTATCTAAATTTTTAATAAATAACCTATAAGGACGATTTTAGAGGCTACCATGACGCTGTTTTTTTTCGACCCTATGGTACTTTTGTGTCATAATATTTTTAAAATATTTTATTAAATTTCTTTATCATAATTTTAATAAAAATATATATATTGTATGAAAAAAAACGACGAAGTTGGCTTAGAAATGTCAATCCATGCCATTCCTCATGTAAATATAAAATGAGTAATTTTCATTTGCAAGCCAACTCATATGCCATTTTTTTTCTGTTTTATGGTAGTTGATAAGTTGGCTTGAAATCAATATGACTAAATTTTAAATAAAATCAGCGATTGTCATTTCAAAGGCTATTGGATGCAGTTTTTTTGGCATTTTATATCCTATGTTCCTTTTGTGTCATAACATTTTAAAATTATTTTATTATAACGATTTTAATAAAAATAGATACCTACCGTATGATTGAAAAAAAAACGGCTTCAAGTTGACTTGAAATTACAATCGATGACATTCACCATACAATTTTACCAAAAAAATGACAGCGCCCTTCATTTCCAAGTTAACTCTGACGCCGTTTTTTTTTTCGTTTGTATATTTTTTTAATCAATTGTGTTATCTACATGTAGTAGATATGTGAATATACCGTATGATCGAAAAAAAAACGGCACCAAATTGACCTTAAAATGGTGATACAGGATTTTACGTGTAAAATTGCCGCGATCTTCATTTCGAAGGTAACTATGACAGCGTTTTTTTATTTGTACGGTATGTTTCTTTATGTTAAAATGTGGGAAATTAAATAGTTTTAAACGACTTTGAAATAGCGATCTAGGATATTCGCCATATATTTTTACAAATAAAATGAGAGATCTTCATGTCGCGGCCAACTATGACACCGGTTTTTTTTATTTTTAATTATAAGAAATTAAATTGTTTTAAACAAATTGTGTTATCTACTTGAAGATAGGTAAATACAACGCATGATCAAAAAACGGCGTCAATGACGATCGATGACATTCCCCATATAACTTTACATACAAAAGATAGCCCTCTTCATTTCAAAGCTATCTCTGACGCCGTTTTTTTTGATCGTATAGTATACTTTGCATTCAATTTGAACTATCCTGGACACAAAATACGAGTGTATAAAATAAATTAAATAATATTCAATCAACCTATTATATTATGAAATAAAAAATACTTTTAGGAAAATCGTTTTTTCCTATTAGATTTGATTCCTCTCTTAGCTCAATTTTTTCTCAATAATTTATTAAAGTATGTCACTAGAATTCTTAAGAAAAATGATGTATTTTGTATAAAATTGTATCCTAGCGTGTAAAAAAATTATTAATTATCGTGATTATTTATTTTAAGATTGTACTGTTTAAGTTTAGGTAATATACTGGGGATATTTGCATCATTTTCTTAAGAAGATTCAAACATATATGCATTTTTTGTAAATACTTTATTGTTAATATAATTTTCATTATATTTTTTTGGTTGCCTATATTAATTTAATAATAATAAATAAAACAATGTGATTTGACTCATTTCTTTTATTTTCCTTCATTTAGTACAATATAAAGTTGACAACATAAAAATAAAAAGGTGTATAACAAAGGTAAAATTAAAATAAATGTTTCTTTTAAGTAAAATAGTGGGTAATAAATTAATTTCTTGGTAGAATCAAGGCAGGGATGGGTATTTACACGTTTATATTTTTACATTACGTTTTTACTTATCCACCCTGATTCCAGCACCATTAATTATTATAACTAAAGCTATGGTCTCTAAATGTACTAGTTATTATTAAAAAAATATAACTAAATTTATTTTTTTCTTACTAATGTATTTTTTTTTCTTAAATTTTAAAATGAAGTAGACTCAAATTGCTTTAATATTTCTTGCATTTCGTATATGTCGTGTTCCTTTTCAATTTGATCCTGCATCAGCCTTTCAACGTTCTCTTGGAACCGTTGCCTCAAAGCTATGTTCTCGATATTCTCAATCTTAATTTCTTGCTGAATTCTTTTGACTTGATATCATTTAGTTCTAAGTTTAGTGCTTCTAGTTTTGTCTCCACAGTTGCTAGAATAAGAAAATTGTATTATTTTGTTTACTATTTCAAGATTTATTAATTACCTTTGGTAAGATTGGGCTCAGAATAACTTATATTTGATGATGATTGACCATAGTAGTCAACGTCCTGAAGCATAGTCGGTGTAGCCTCGAACATGTCACTAGTAAACTCTGTAATGAGTTGCTTCTGATCTATTGATGTGTTCTAGAAAAATAAAAAATACAGGAAAATCAATAAAAGCTAGCGTGAAATATATAAGTTTGTGACAGTATTAACATACCAGGACGGAATTTGAGTCTGTTAAATGACTATCGTCACCAGAATTTTGGCTATTATCATCAATAACATCCAGAACATTAAGATGAGCTTCCTCATCATCCGAATCGCTCACATCACCACCAAAAATGTCGTGTTCTGCAACTTTTGGCTGCTCTGGATCAACTATTTCTTTCTTTATAACAACTGTACCCTTATTGACTTTATTTTCATCATCCTCGTTGATTACTTCCCATTTTACACTAACCTAAAATCATTTATAGCAACTCTCTCTTAAAATAATTTAACAGTTAACAATCTTACAGCATCATTGTCCACTCTGAGCAACCTTTTTACTTCTTTTTCAATTTCCGGAGCTTCAACATACTTTTTCTTTAAAGTTTTCCTAAATCTTCTCCGTCTAACATTTTTAGCTGGTGGGGTTACACCATGAGGCCAGAGATACTTTTTATCAACCTTGTATGGATCTAAAATTATCTGTATTTAATATTAACTAGCTTTTTCCCGCGTATAAACAAGCTGGAAATATATAGCTTTCCATTAAAAAAAAGTATTATCAAAATTGGTGAAGTTGTAGCTGCGTGAAGGGGATGTGACAAAAAAAAACATTTGAGCTTTTATATATGTATTCTTATTTTGCTACTTGCCTACCTTTCTTCTTTTTCTGTGGACTCTCATCATCAGATTTTTGATCATCCTCCTCTTTGCACAGTAACATCTGGCATATATCGGCAGTTTTATAAAAGCTCTTAGAATCGATAGTTTTCAATGATTCGATAATGGTTGGTAAATCAACAATTTTACCAGGTAGAAGCCAGTGATCCAGTCTCACCTCAGCATGCCTCATGTTTTCTTCGATTTTGATGTTGAATCGGTCTTTTAAATTCTCGCAGTTACGTAGGGCTTCTTTTAAAACTTTAGCTGGTTCCTAGACACAGAATGTGTGTTGGGTAGTAAAAATACAACTTAATATATCTATTATTGTTTTTTTACTTACAATTGGCAATCTTAGAACAAATTGCGACTCTAATTCAGCAGCTCCTTCATCGACTTCTTTCATTTTGCTGAACATTTTATTAAAATTCTTCTATGAAAATAATTGCAATTCTAGGCTATTTCACCATGATAATTAAATATAATTTAATATAGGTACATATTTTGTTAAATATGTTGTAAAAAGTTACGTATAATTATCTCTCATAATATAAAGAAAATATATTAGCAGAAACCAGAGAATAGGTAGAAACAAAAATTACTTTGTTTACTTTTAAAAGACTTTTTTTATTTACTTTTAAAATGTCAAATGTCACGCAAAACGTGAAATTTGGACCTAATCACGTAACAGTAATCTTTCTACAAAAATGAATAAGAATAATAAATCTACTGTGTCCTAGATGGCAGATTAAGCGTTATTTCAAGTGTATTTTGCAATATTTCCGATAGATGGCGCTCAATCTTAATGTATTGCTGGTTATCTAACCTTTTCCTGTTTTAAATTCAAAAAATAATTTTAAATTCTTTTTCCTTACAGAATTAAAAGAATTTATTAAATATAACCAATTTGGAAGCATAGATATATAAATTACTCTAAAATTTATAAGTATTTAGTTAAAATAAATGCTAAATCTGTAAATCCTAGCGTGCTGAAAATATTTTCGTTGATTTTTACCAAGCGCGAATGCCTCTCGATCGCATGTATTCACTGTTATGATTCTGATTTATGAAATAATCGATATTTTTGATTTTGGTTTTCCGTTGACACGCGACAGTTTAATGCCCCGTTTCTTCTTTAAATTATTCAACCCTCTGTTTGTAAGCGCGTATACGATGGCGAGCACAATCGAGGAAAAACTATGGGTTTTGCAGGAAAAACTGAAGGTAACTTTGGGCGCGCAAAACACGACGTCGTAAACGATAAACAAACGGAAAAAGCGACTAAACGCACACTCGACGAATAATCAAGCCGGTGAAACACTGATGAAGATGCCCGACGCTTCGAAAATTCAGAGGCGTCGCGCCATCCGGGCTGAGCCTCGCGGGCGAGACCTATCGAATTCAGTCGAAAAAGGACGACCAAGTTGAAAAAAGACGCGGCGCGAGCGGCATTCGCACCGTTTACCATTTACCTGCACGGTACTACGCTATACCCATCGACCCGGTACCACACACTCGGCAGAAAATGCAAGTGAAGGCAAAAATGCAATGTGGTCCGTCGCGCTGGAGAATCGGACCATAAATATAATCTCAGAAAAGTAATGCTTAAGGTGGTTTCAAACTGCGTGCTGGTAGAGTTTTTCGGGAACTTG